ACTTAACAACCATGCTATTAACTGAACAACTGCAGTGATTCACTTAATAACCGTGGCAAGAAAGGTCGTAAAATGGGGCAAAATTCAGTTAACAAATGTTTCCCTTAGCAACAGATATTTTGGGCTCAACTATGACCATAAGCCGAGGAGTACCTGTATAAATAGAAACAAAGCAGACATAGGTAAAGCAAATAGTTCTTACTCTGTATACAATAGTCAATGTAGATGAACTGGAAGAGGAATGAATTTTCACAAAAGCAGAGTAGATTAAATAATATGTAGCCAGGAGTCTGGCAAATGGAAAAGGGGACGGGAGCTTCAAAAGAGACTATTTCAGCAAGCTAATAATGATAGATGTCTGAAGCTGCATTATAATAAATCTGATTATTAGTCCATCTAGCTCAATATATGAATAATGACTGGTAGAAATAGCTCTTAGGAGTTTTTCATGAGGAGATACAAGAGATCAATCCCACAGACTTGTGATAATGGACTATGACATTCCTACAAACCAAAGTGATTATCTTTTTGTTTAATGAGCTTATCTTATTATGATGGGTGTATGTGAAAAAAGCTTTGTCTATACTTAAGATTCCTGTGGAGGTCGCAGGGTTCATTCTACAGCCATCTGGCAAATTTCTTTCAGCTGAAGTTGGATGGTTCAGTCTTTGGGAAATGTTTTATAGATCTATTTTTGCTAACAATAAGTTAAAACAATCTAAAGCAGACATACTGGTGTTTTTTTTTTCCTGATCCTCTTTAACATCTAAATGAAACTACTAGACAAAGTCATCTGGCAGGATGGGTTTAAATATCCCGAGTATACTGATGATATTTAGATATTCATTTCTCCCTGAGGCTGCCCTAGTGATGCCATCCAGGTGTGTCTTGAGGCCATGTGGGTCTGGGTAGGGCTTAGCTCTGAAAAGACTCAGTAGTTCTGGGTTTTGGGGCCCCACACCAGGCTAGGCATAAGCATGACATGTACCAATTCATTTAGAGTTCAGTTCTTTATTTGTTTACCCATAGCAGACAAAATCTTGCCAGGATAAACCCTTATTATTCCCAGCCTCACAAATATACTCTGGGAGATTCTAGGGAAAGGCTGTTCTTGCTCTTTTCTTCTGTCTCCTATCCCAATCCGGGTTCGTGTCCCTTCTCTTTTCTGGAATTTGCACCCTCCTCCCTGAGAACCTGCCTTTTCACTGTAGTCCACCACCCCAGCTCTCCTTCCATAGGCACCATCTCTTACATCCCCCGAATCTAGTGGTTGTTAACACTGGATGGAGTAACTCTCTCTCAGGCACTATTGTTGTGTTATCTTGAAGTCTTTCTGTACTCATGGCTCAAGAAGCAGGTGGAAGCCATAGCCAGGAAGACCTTTGCACAATTAAATCTTGTACAATAGTTGCATTCATTCCAGTATCATGAGAAACTGCTTACACTCCTCATGCCTCACCTCCTGACCAAACTATTGCTAATGTGCAATATGCCTGCTCAGCAGAGCATTTAGAAGCTTTATTTGATCCAGAAAATAATAGCATGTGCACTATTGGATGCTTTACGGCAGAGGTGGGGAACTCTACCTCCTTTATGACTTGTGGACTTCAGCTCCCAAATTTCTGATCCAGTATGGCTGGATCAGGAATTCTGGAAGTTGAAGTCCCCCGGTCATAAAAGGGCCATAGTTCCCAAGCCTTGCTTTACTGTATGACCACATGATATTGCTGTTATGTGAATTGAACTGGCTCTTGGTAGGTTCTAGATGAAATTCAAGGTACCGATTCTCATTTTTAAAGCCCTACAAACCATGGGTTTGGTTATTTGTGCAGTAGGTCATCTTTCACCAATGGTTTCTGAATGTCACATCCTATTAGATGGAGTAAATAGGCCCTTGACTCTATTGGCCCTATGGAAAATGCCTTATCTGTCATGACATTTGTCTTGTGGAATAGCCTTTCCCTGAGATACAGGCAGCCCTTGCCATTTTGGCTTTCCAGAAGGCCATGAAGACCTGGTTATTCCTGCATGCTTTGGGGCCAGTATATTAATGGGGCTCTGACATGGATGTGGATGTGTTTGACTGGTTGCTATTTTGATATGGTTATAAGTTTTCTTTTAGTTGTTGGTGAATTAAGTTATTTTCTTTGTTCACCAGAGTTAGTTTGATAGATGGGCAACCAATTTGTTTAATAATAATATATTTATTTGGTCACCTGATATGGTAGGGATTCATTCTTAGCAATAGCCCATATATTACTGGGTTTATTTGGGACCTGACTGGGAAAATATTTAATAGTGTGCTACTGGACTTATTTTTTTAAAGCCCAGAGAACATTGGGAACTCTAGAAAGAAAAATAATAACCAGAATCATAAAAAAAAGTTTTGCTAGGCTTTGAACTAGTAAACTTTTGGTTTTTAAGGCAAGAGGTATAACCTTTTTGCTGTTACATCTGCCATGAAAATAGCTCTGAAATAGTAAACACTGATTCAGTTGAAAGGGCATTTCTATTTCTTTAAAATTTCCAATGATCTGCCAGGCTTAGCTTTCAAGATACTAGAAGAGGCTGTCTGAGACAGACAGGAATGCTTAAGGAGACATAAAATAGAAACATGGACATGGAGCACAAAAACATTTTCTGAACACTGAGAATGTGACAGTTATGGCATGACATTCAGTTCATTTCTTACCTCCAGAAACAATTGCTAGTCAGTTACAGTGCAGATAAGCTCTAGGAAATTCTTAAAACTACCAGAGAAAGCTTTGGCTTACTGTCCTAAGGCAGAGTGCTCAATAATTGAGGTGCAGCTATAAAGAATACCTTGTCTCTTATCAATTAGATCTCCATCTCAGTTATGGCATGAAAAAGGACTAGTCTGGCAGATATTAGGGTGCTTTTTCTATATTCTCCCTTCATATAAGTGATTATTATCTTGATTCTTCATTCATTCTGTTCTTTTCAGTCATGCAGAAACAAAAAAAAAGCTAAGTTCCTAGCCATACAATAGTTCCCCCTTCAAAAGTACTAATGATAGTACAAATCAGTGAAATGTTGGAAGTGTTATCAGGTACCTGGATCATACTACCATATGTGGTGGACCTGGGCAGAAGCTAAAAGATATTGGACTAAAATACAAAACAACATATAGATTTAAAGGCTGAGATATCTTTATTGGGGATTTTGCCTGAAAACTATAGCAACAAAATAACGTATTTGATTATTCATGTATTAACAGCAGCTAGAATTGCATTTGCTCAAAATTGGAAAAATGAGAAAATTCCGATGGAGGAGGAGGTGATTAAGAAAATAATAGAATGTGCAGAAATGAGTAGGTTAACATTAGCAAGAAGAGAAGGAGTATTATAAGATTTGGGATTTATTTTATGGATGGTTAGAAAGTAGAGTAAGAAATTAAAGGATACTGTAATAATGATATACTGTAAAAGATCATTTTGAATAAATTATAATATAAATATAATTTAGTAAGAGTTGGGATTTGCTTTCAAGAGTAGCTGGAAACTGAAATAAAAAAAAGCTAATGACATTGTAATAATGATATAATAGGATATATAATGTTGATTAGATGATAATATGAACGTAAATTCAACAAGAAATGTATACAAATATTATGTGCACAAGATATATGTACCCAGCTGCCACACTGTATAATTGAAAGGTTTTATTTGTTGTTTTTGTTATTAAAATAAAAAACTTTTTTAAAAAAGAACTAATGATAGTACCCTGTTTCTCCAACAATATGGCCTCCCCCAACAGCATGTTTTATAGGCATGAAATGAAATTAAGCCCCTCCCCCCAAAATAAGGCCTATATTAAAACATGCGAAATGGGGAGGAATGGTGTGGGGGGGGTTGCCATTAGGAAGTACTTTTGTTGCACACCCGGATATGGTGCTGCCTGCATTGACACCCGATATGAAGTGCCCCACCAATGCCAGGGTCAACATCCAAGCCATTGCTGCCCGCTCACCCGAAGATGCAGGGGGGGGGGAATTAAGTCACCCCCCAAAAGACAGCCTAGCCATTTTTTGGGGGCTCAAAAAAAAAAAAGACCCGGCCTTATTATATGAGAAACACGGTAATTTTGTGGGGTCTTTTATGACCCCATAATCCCTTGCATCAGAGTGGAGTCGGAACAACAGAATGGAGATGAGTGTTTACTGGTCAGATGACCTTCCTGTCACCAGTGCAAAGTTCGCTGCAGATATTTTCTCATTGTGCCCAGAGAGAGAAATATCTGCCGCTACCCAGAATTGAATTCACAGCCTCCTCATTGTGGGGCACCACTAGACCACTGCACCATTCCAATGATAGCATTCTTATGTGACAAAAATTAAGAAAATTATATATTTGTTACTTCAAAATGTTCTACAATCTAAATCTGATCTTCTATAACTTCTGTGAAGTAGTTGGAAATGATTGGTCATTTATTTATCATTCTGTCTTTGCTTATGATATTCAGGGGATGTAGGGAAATATCTTCCATCAATTAAATTATTCATATAGGTAGTCCTCGAATTATGATTGAGCCCAAAATTTCTTTTGCTAAGTGAAACATTTGTTAAGTGAGTTTTGTCCCATTTTACGATCTTTCTTGTCACCCCTGTTAACTGGATCACTTAACAACTTAACCTTGTTAAGATAGTAACAGAGTTGCTAAATGAATCTGGCTTCTCCATTGCTTGCCAGAAGGTTACAAAAGATGATCTCATGATCCCGGCACACTGCAACCGTCATAAATATGAGTCGGTTGCCAAGCGCCTGAATTTTTGATCATGTGACCATGGGGAGGTTGCAGTGGTCATAAGTGTGAAAAATGGTCATAGGTCACTTTTTCAGTACCATTGTAACTTCAAAGGGTCACTAAAAGAACCGTTGTACGTCTAGGACTCACCCGTATTTTGTGGAATATGTATTCTAATTTAAGTACAGACTTTGGTTCTAATGCAGTTCTTTTTTTTCCTTTCTTTTTCTTCCAAGGAACAAAGTTATTGAGTGATGCACCATGGAAGACTGTCTCCATACATCTTCCGAAAACCTTTCCAAGCTGGTCAGTTGGGCCCACAGTCATGGTACCATTTGCAGCCTCATTCCAAATTTAAAACACCTACTTTCAGAGGGTTCCCATGGCAACCTGACAGCTATGTGGGGCTGTAGTGCAGGCCATGCCTATCACTGGCCGCTGACAGCTACTTGTAGGGCTGGCTCACAGGAAAGGGTTTGTTTCCAGGATAACAGAAGTTTCAACTCTGATAGCCCCAGCATAATCGGCATGCCTTCAGACCCACAAGCCAGCCCAGTGGAACGCTATCCGGGGAGGTCAGGAAAAGCAAAGTTGGACTGTAACAGAACCAGAGATTCCTGCGATTTCTCCTACTGTAGTGAACCTTCTGAATTGGACGAAACAGTGGAGGAATACGAAGATGAATCTAATCTCTTTGACATGGTCTGTGAGTCCTCGGTGACCGACGAAGATAGTGATTTTGAACCTCATCGTCAAAGGTCTCAGATAAATTCCCTTAAAAGGCCCGGCCTGTCTTCTTCACTGCATTTGGACTCTCAGTCTCAGGTCATTGATGGAAGCAGCAATGATATTGTTTTAACCAAAAAAATAAAGCAAGAACTCCCCGAGGATTATTATATTGTGGCTAATGCCGAAATCACTGGTGGCATTGATGGCCCTGCATTGTCCTTGACACACATGTCAAAACCTAAAGGTGGAACCTCCTATCCTGTGGCATCTAAGTTAAGTTCTCACTCCTCTCCTTCCCTCAGTGCTGACTTTGATTTACAGAATGTTTCAGCCTCTTCACAAGTTACATCAAGGCCAGTGACCCAGAAACCTCCCAGACTCAATCAGCCATCCTCAAGCAGAAGGCCTGGTAACATCTCGACCGCAAATCCTCAGGTGGCCCTCCAGGTGCCTGCCAGCACTTCTAATTCTGGCAAACCTATCAGCATTCCTTTATCAGCCTTGCAGCTTCCTGGGCAAGAAGAGCTGTCGGCCTCAGAAGATCTCCTCCAACCAGGCCCAAATCAAATTTCCAATGATGTAGCATTGTCTCCTTCTGTTAGCACAGAGCCGGAAGTTAGCTCTAGCCAGCAGCAGCCGAGCACTGCTCCCAGCACAGTCACTGAGCCGGTGGCACAGACAATAGCAGGTATCAACATTTCGAATGTTTGTAATGATTATTTGCTTGATGCATTTTTTAAAAAAATCATGGTACTTTTTTTCCAGAAGTTATTTTTTTAAGTTCAATTGCTAATTGGTTAATAGTGGTGATAGTGATGGTAGGAATACCATTCCTGTTGAAAACTTGAGACCATAAGGAATCAAAAACTTACCAGTGTGATTTGGAGCCAAGAGAAATAGTAATAGCAATAGCACTTATATACCGCTTTATAGTACTTTACAGCCCTCCCTAAGTGGTTTAGAGTCAGCCTATTGCCCCCAATAATCTGAGTCTTTGTTTTACCAACCTCGGAAGGATGGAAGGCTGAGTCAACTGTGAGCCGGTTAGGATTGAACTCCTGGCAGTGGGCAGAATTAGCATACAATACTGCATTCTAACCACAGTGCCACCAGGGCTCCTGATACTAGATAATAAATAGCTAATAATAGATTTATTGGCCAGGACAATAACCTACCACATCCTAATCACAGTTTCTAATACTGTTATAGAAAGGAATTATGTCTAACACAGTATACACATTATATTGGATCTTTATGCACATCATTTGTTTTCTAAATGTATTCATGGTTCCTAGAAGATAAGAACTTCAGGTAGATCATATATCAGTGCGGGGGGGATTCAAATTTTTTAACAACCGGTTCTGTGGGCGTGACTTAGGTGGTGGGCATGGCTTGGTGGTCATGTGACTGGCTAGGTGTGGTCAACTCAATATCACTCACATCGAGGCATGCATCTCCTTGCCTGGCCTCTCATGACTGTGGGGATGCTGCAACAGTCATGAGTGTGAAAAATGGTCATGTCCCTTTTTTCAGTGCCATTGTAACTTTGAATGGTCACTCCACACAAGCAGACTACCAGCAAAGGAGGGAAAAAAACTCCAGAGATGTTCCTGAGACAGGAAGTCTAGTCCTGCCAAGAATGTAATAAGGGTTAATGGAGAGGCAGTTTCTGTAAGCAACACCAGAATGTTTCCTTCCTGCCTTCCTTACAGGATTAGGCCAGTAATTTCTTCTAACAACCGGTTCTCTCAACTGCTTAGAATGTTAACAACCGGTTCTAGCGAATATGTGCGAACCAGTAGAATCCCACCCCTATATCAGGGTTGCACACCCCCTGAAATGAGTTGACAAAAACACAGCATGGCTTACCAGAAAGAATTTCATTAGATTTCCCAAGGAAAGGGATATCTGCACCTACTTTGTGAAGAAAGTTCCTTTTTGCACTGCCAGAACTTATATCAGCTTCAGCCTATATCTCTGTTCCTGACACTCTGGTTAGATTCAGACAAATTTCAACTCAAGCAAGAAAAATGTGAAAATGTTAGCATTCCAAGTAAACCCTCATTAGAAATAGGAGCATCAGGGTTTCTGAGTGCCATTAAGCAGGGGGTTGTTGGTTGGGTTTTTTTTTTAAAGCTATTCCTCTTTATCCTTTAAAATAGTTGTGAAATATAGAATAAAAGACAAAAGCAGGGGAAATGGGAGGATTACAAAAAAAAAACCCACATTTTTGTCATAAAATTTTGTCAATGAACCAGAATAGTTATACTAAATCTCATCTGGTAGCATAACTCGTTTTTGTTTCTTGAAACTTAAAAACAAGAATGCTGATGGGAAGCTTTTCCCCAGTAGAGAAGGGCAGGCAGATCAACATATTACTTAATGTACCCTACCTTTCACAGGACAGTCTTCTGCCTGAAGAGGTCCTATAATTCAAATTCTGGGTAATTCATGTTTGATCCATTGATAAGAAGAACCACACAAAAGGAGAACAGCAAGAGTTGTTGATCACCAATCATGAGATGAAAAACAAGCAAGGAAAATATTCAGGGGATCATTGTCTTTCTCAGTAAAATACAGTGGCATTTCTATTTAAGATACAGCAGCCATTTCTGTATTTGCATCATCCAGAACATACAAGTTACCCAAAAATGTAATTTTGGTGAACGGTTTTTGGTTTTTTTGATTAGTTAAGATGTGATTAGCCTGCTTCCTTACTTTTTAAACCTTGCATTGCCTGTTCTAGAGCAACTTGGCCCAAACAAAATACCTTGCACAAATTTAAGTTACTTTGAAGTTTAAAGTAGATAACAAATTCCTACTCCAATAACTAATTTAGGGGTCTTTAAGTTAGAAAAAAATATCACATGAACATTTTATTTATTTTTATCCCACTTTATTATTCTTTTAATGAATAATCCAAGGCAGCAAATATATCCCTTTCTCTTCTACTTTCCTCACAGCCACAACCCTGTGACATGGGTTGGGCTGAGACAGAGTAACTGGCCCAAAGTTGGCTTTTATGGCTAAGGCAGGACTTGAACTCGTGGTCTCCTGCTTTCTTACCTGGTGCTTTAAACATTAGGCCAAACTGGTTCTTACTATTCAATTTAACCTCTTCTGATAGGACAAAAAATAAGTGGTGACTGAAAGCCAAACGAAAAGAGAATGACAATGAAATGGTGGCAGGGTGCGGGGAGTGGGGGAAGTGAGACAGTTCAATGAGCAGATGAATATGAATGCATGAATGGATAAAGTAGCTATACATGTGAAATCATTCTGATTCTCCCTCTATCTTTGGGCGGGGGGGATGTTTATGAGGAAGAGAAGTAGTGTGGTATTATAAAAGTGATGAAAAGGGCACATTCAGTGCCTTCAGAGAAGGGCATTACTCAATTGTTCTGTAGTTCTGTATAAGAAACCTTTTACTGAAAGCAAAATGTATGAAAGAAGTAGTGGGAGAAGAAGTTACAAATGGAAAGCAACACGGAACTCTCTGGAAAGTCCTGGCAAAGATGGCAAATTAAATTTTACATGCATTCCAGAAACACTGCTGTAATTTTATTGGATAAGGATGTTTCTCCAAGTTATAGCAAATACAGTTAAAAGAGGGGTAGTTCCACTGTTCTGAAAGAAACAGTGCTCCACTCCTTCTTCATCCAGTCCCTGCCCCTATTTATGCTGTCCTGCTCTCTCCCTCCCCCCCCTCTCCCTCTCTCCCTCTCTCTCTCTCTCACACACACACAACTACGCTTTAGTGGATTTATTACTATTCCCATACCAAAAACCCAGAACTCTCCCAATTAAGTTTCCAGCCACAAGCAGACCAATGCTAGTCAACAGAGCAGTGGCCAATGAGTCCACAAAGCACTTGAAAGTTTCCCAATCAAAATAAACCCACCAGGCAAAAATAAATCCACAGTACTGTACAAGAGGGTTCACGGGGCAAGAGTTCACAAGGGCACAATCCAAACCAAGGCAAGAGTCACAACGATCAGAAAAAACACAGCTAGGAAATGAACATATTCCCAGCATCACCTCTATCTGTCTGCTGTGCTAAATAGCCAGCTTCTGGTTCAGCCCATTAAGAAGGGCGAGGCTTTCTCCTCACGAATAATCCGGCTGACCTTCTCTGCTCCTGCCTTTTCTCTGCCCTATATGTTCTTGGATCAAGCGCAGAAGGCAGTTCCTCTTCCTCATTACCGACTGGCTGCAGCTGTATGCTTTTTCCACCTAAACCTTTAGGGCTGTCCCGCTGCAAATGTGTTTGAGCCAAATCCCTCTCAGGCGGCTGCTTGGAGCCATTGACCAATTTCCCTCCAGATATGCCTGGAACTGGTTCATCTTCCTCCAAGGTGACATCTGGAGAGATATCTAAGGAAGCATCCAAGGGAGTCATCACACTATTCTGGAAGGTTATAGAGAAAGTGATTGGTCTCCACATCCAAACCAGTAGTGGGTGTGGCTTGGTGGGTGTGCTTTGCATGCAGAGGGTTTCCTACTAACCTTGTCCTGCAATCCTGCACTGTCCCTGTGTCTTCAGTAGCTGACGCACGGCAATTGGCTGTGCAGCGCAAAGCAGCTGAGGTTGAAAAGCAGGAAATAAAGGTCAGTATAGAGCCGGGGTGTCATGCCCCTGGTGGAGACTGACTCTGAGGGAGAGGAGGAACAGCCAACAGGGAGTGAAAGTGTGGCTCTGGAGATTGTGGAGGAGGCTGGGGAAGGGCAGAGGCTGGCTGGACAGTCAGAGGAGGACCCAGGTCCATCTTCTCTCCATCCTATGGCACGCAGGGAAGAGAGGTTAAGGGAGAGACATGGCCTACTGGGGAGGAGAGGGCCTTGATCCTCTTCATGGGCTGCAACTGTGACAAGTGGATAAGAAGACAAACGTGTATGGGCGAGTGCTGGAAACAAAGCTTAGAAATATCTCTAGTTTATTGTTTTTCTCTGAGTTTGGTGTCCTTCCCAATGTGTGTTCTGATATCTGTGGACATCTTCCAGCCCTTATCTTGCCTGGCATGTGTTGTTTTTTACTCTTTATAATTTAAACGGCATTTCCTCCTTCTTGTAACTGCTTGTGTGGGAATTTTTTTGTCTCCAGTCAAGGATATTTTGAGCTTGGAAGCAAAGTGAAGGCATAAAAGGGGCTTCACCTGTTTTTTGTGACTTTGTTTATTTTGTATCCCACCCTGGGTCATCACACGGGGTGGGTAGGAGAGCCAGCAGCTGATTGTCGGAGCTACTGGTTCGGCTGAACTGGGCAGAACCGGTAGAATACCACTACTGGTCCAAACTAACAGATTATCCAAACCATTTTCAGACCAGAATATAGTATTGAGACAGTTTTGGTCACATACTGATGACCTCTTTTGGGGTTGGAATGGGATGATGCATCCACCCTAACTTTTCTTGATCACTTTGTGCCCTTTAATACTGTTGACTACAATATCCTGGCTTAGGCTATCAAGGATTGGCGCCTTTACACTGTTCTCCATTGTTCTAGTTGGTGTTGGGGGTGAGTGAGCTGGTCTGAGACCCTTGCTTTGTCTTAGGACTTCAGTCTCTTCATTCTTCTTTTTCATATCTTCATGAAGCCATTGGGAGAAGTTATCTGTCAGCATAAGATATATCAATAGTATATCAATAGTAGGATATTATTAATGCTTTGTGGTAATCTGTAATGAATCT